CTCACAGAAAAATAAAACAAGTTAAATGCAAAACAAGCAGGAGGAGAGAAATAATAAAAGAAGGGCTGAAATCAACAACAAAAGGACCAAAAAAAAAATACAAAGGATCAATAAAACAAAAGGCTGATTTTTTGAAAAAATAAACAAGGTTGACAAACCCTAGCAAATCTGAGTAAATGAGGAGGGAAAAGATTCAAATGAATAAAATTAGAACCAAAAAGGGGAAGATAACAACAAACACCAAGGAAATCCAGTTATTAGGGAATAATTTGAAAACCCATATTCAAATAGATTGGAAAGTTTAGAAGAAATGGATAATTCTCTAGATGCATATGATCATCCAAAACTGAGAACCAAGAGGATAATAATCACCTAAACACATCTATAACACGCAATGAAATTGAGACATAAGAGTCTCAAAGAAAAGTCCAGGACATGAACGATTCTCTGCTGAAATCTACCAGACCTTTAAAGAAGAACTAATACCAATACTCAATAAGCTTTTCCATGTAATAGAAAGAGAAGGAATATTACCCATGTCATTCTATGAAACCAGTATTACATTCTTCCCAAAACCAGACAAGGACAGATCACTTAAAAAAAAGAATTACAGACCAATCTCTTTAATGAATATGGTGCAAAAAAATCCTCAATAAAATAATGACAAACCAAATAAAAAAGCATATCAGAAAGATCAATCACCATGGCCAAGTTGGCTTGATCCCAGGGATGCAGGGATGGTTTAACATATGCAAATAATGAATTTTAATACAGGCTATTGACAGAAGCAAAGACAAAAACCATTTGTGTATCTCAATAGACACAGAAAAAGCCTGTGATAAAATCCAATATACTTTCATGATGAAATTAGGAATAGAAGGATTGTACCTCAATATAATAAAGGCTGTATATGGCAAACCCAATCTTGAACAAACCCTTCACAAAAAAGTGGCTGGAGGGGAAGGCCCTGAGTTCAAATCCCAGTACCACAAGAAAAAAAATGTTCTTGGGGTGTACTTCAGTTTCACTTCATTTCATTCTTCTGGATACAGTGCACTGGCCTCAGTGAAGTATATTTCACTCCTACACTGAGGCCTTTCCTAGATTGCCTAAGAGAGACATAAAAAGTGCATCTTGAAAATTCACCATCCTAAAAGTCTAATCTTTAGATCAGACATGTGCTACCCATTTGGAGTGTGCCTTAGAAGGTTGGAAAATGAACATTCAGATCTCCAAATTCCACCTCCTGTAAGACATTATTTCAATATTTTGAAATCTTTAACTTCTCATCATGTGACACATTAGGCTTGTGGCTGCCACTTGTGGAGAGGAAAGAATGGGAATTTTTTAAATGAGTGCAAATTTAGCTTGTGAAGTTGAAATATGCATGCAGATGAATGGTGCTAATGGTTGCACAAGTATGTGTATGTAATTAATGCCACAACCCATGTTTGCAAAATGGTTATACTGGTAAAGAGTTTTATTATGTATATGTGACCATGATAAAATATGCAAATAAAACACAGAGATCAAAGAAATATATTATGTGTCTCTTAAAAATAAATGAAATAGATGAGTACTACACTTGAACTTTCTCTTGAATAGAGGAGTATTCTCAAACCTGTTGAGATTGCTCACTGTTTCTTTTTCTTATTCTTCCTTTAATATTAGGAAATCCTTAGAGACAAGGGCAGTGTGGACCAGTATGATTAATTGTGAGCTCTGTGCATTGAGTCTCCAAGGCCATGTAAGAGAACATCATTAGCCTGTGCCTCAGCTTAATAACTCTAGTTCAGTGGCTTTATACCTGTGTCTGCTCCTCCCCTGGCTTTCTGCATCAGGGAGCTCCTATCTGTCACTATACTCACATCAGTTGTAAAGAGTGAGCAGAGGTCATCACTGGAAAACATACAAGGGAGATTCATCATATTGTTCATCCTTGGTCATGACCTCGGTGACACACAGTTTATCCAAATAAGTGTGAGGGAAGCAGGGATGAAGAAAAGACTAATATAATCATTAGTTCTTGATCAGTGGGAGAAGTAGGGAGGTTTGGACAGCATGATGGTAGAATAACTGTTTGCACATTACAGGTCTATAGACTATGAATTTTATGATTTTGCTTATTTTCTCATTCAATGTTTTTATTTTTGCTTATGGTGGTTATCTCCTCCATAGACTTCTCACCCAAGATAGTGGAAACATGATCCAATTAAACAGTTTCTTAAGCTCTCAAAATTTCTTATGATAGTACAAATAATGAATAGGAATATTAGTAATCAAACCATCATGTGTGGCTATTAATGGCTGTGAGTTATGTTTTCTACAAAGATTTGGGTATCTGTGTAGTACTCCCAAAGTCATAAGCTCTCATTCTATTATTATCATTATAATTATTATTATTATTCTCTTATGGAAAAGAAAATAGCACTTTGATTCCATGCAGCATGTACGAGGTAGATAGGTAGAAAAGAGCAAAGCCTTGTCTGAATCTATATCCCATGAAAATCCCTTCAGGTGGTACTGTTGACATAGGAACCAACCATTCACTTAACTTCCCTTTCCCTGCAGCAGAGACTTCTCGCTTATTGCATTTTTTCTCTTTGGGGTTCCAGATAGATTATATTGGAGGCCTGTGGTAGACACCTGCTGTGTGAACTATAGATAGGATAGCTGTGGCTTGAAAGCAAAGAACCCAATGAGTAGGAACAAGATAATTGAACACCCACTCCTCAATTTAGGTTTTCTTTTTTTTAGTTGGAACAAGGTCTTATCATATAAGCCCCAGTGCCCATGAAGGTTGTTGCCTAGCATGCAGATTGCAAGGATCACAGAGTTTTCCACCATGTTCTGCCTTCCAGATTATCTTTGCAGTTGTCTGCATCCTCCTCCATTCTTGAAATCAGCTCACTCAGTTTCCAATGGTGAGGAAAGTCTGGCCCTGATATTATTCCTAGTCTGAGTTCCAGAGAGTCTAAAATGGTCCTATGGCTAATCCTCTGGAACTCATTTTATTTTTTTTCTGACAGAAAGCTATAAGACATTTCATTGCTCCCGACTTAGAGAGTAACAATTTACTTTTGAATGTTGTCGACTCCATTTATTATTTCTGTAATGTAGGGTAGATCATTGGTATTCTTGAGAGCCAGTACTATAATCTGAGTAGATTTTTTAGTCGATATAGCTTCATTGAGTAAGAGTTTCACATATAAACTACAATCTCTGTGTGTTGAATATATGAAGCTTGCATATGATGTGGGTCAAAATCATTTTATAGTATTATTGTTACTAATATTTGTGCCTTCATCTAAAGTATCCTGTCTTATAAAATATCAAACTTCCTTATTTCTGTAATGGGTCATTTTATTGTTGTCCCTTTACATGTACATTTGTGTATTTGAGGAAGAATTACTGTCTTTTATTTTCTTTTACTTCTCAGAGCCTGTGCAGTTCTTGTCACAGAGGTGGGATCAGCAATGCAATTTGTTTTAAATATTAAATAGACTTTTCTTTAGTTCACAAACATTGGCTACACTCTCTGTGTCCCCACCCATTAGGTATGTAGAGCTACAGATAATATCATTCTTCTTTGACTCTATGTCACAGCCTCATGGACCTTATAATGTTATTTAAAATATACAACATATAATTATTTAAAGATCACTGCAGAGATTTTCATGAGTAAATGAAAAAGAACCAAAGGATAGGAAGAGAAGGGGTAGGTAAGCCTAGTGACTTGAAATAAGACATAGTTTAGACTTTTCCATCATTTCTGGCTCCTGTGACCTTCAAAAATTAGTCCTCAATAAACTTACTACTCCTATGATGATGGAATTGCTTATTCAAATTAAATGTTATTAGACATCTATTTGATTCTGTACATTGGTACAAAAATATATAATATTACCCTATTTCTATTAAGTGGTACAAGAATATACTTCTGGATATTTTGATGATCTATGCAGAATAAAAGCATTTGGATGATACTGAGTGATTTTTATAGGGAAAATAAATCTATGTGATTAATAGTAAAAAGCAACAAGCATCTGTTATTGGAAATCAAATTGTCCTGCAACCATATGGTGTCTGCAACTTCTTGTATGGTATGGAGAGAGAAACAATAAATTTAAAAAGATTAATGCAATATTAAACTGAAAATTTAATTGATGTTGCTCCTTAGATAATGCTTCAATTGATACCTTTGAAATATATGTGTACTTCAGAAAGACTCAAAACTATTCAACATACTTTCAATATAAAGTGTATGTTTTAAGGTTATTAGGTGTTGTGTTGCATACTACTAAGAGAAGCTTTGTATACATTTAGGTAGGTTTTAAGAGAAATTATTATGTATATGTAATTCAATTACTAGAAACATTGCAAGGAAATGCTACCCTCCAAATCTGTGACAGTAGTTGCCTGTGTAATGGAATTATGCAGAGATATAAAAAACTTAAATTTCATAAAAGATTTCTGATTATGAACCAATGACTTCAATTTAGTGCCTAGACAATACAGTCCTTGAATTTATATAGACTTTAAAATACTCTAGGCAAAATAACTTTTCATCATGATTTTAGAATAAAATTGGATATATTCAATTGCTTTTTAACAACCTTTAAAAAGATATATTTTCTTCTTAAAGAAGAAATCTGCTATGAATTTTATTTTTTTGAATGCCATTGACTTGTTTTACTATGGTAGCAGGCTACACTGATTACTTCAGTGTACCTAAAATTTATGCACATAGAAGGAGATGAACAACACAGAAGCCAATAATGAAATTCTTAGTTGTTATAAAATATTTTATTAGGATATACTCGTTATACAGTGGGGATTCTTAGTGACAGTTCTGATTAGGTTTATATTGTACATTGGTTAGCTCATCCCCATCCTTGCTCCCTTTTGACCAGCTCCGCAACCCACTTGAAGCAATTGCAAAAGGTTTCTTCGTTGTATTTCATATAAGTATATGAAGTCTAGGGCTGAGTTTGCCATAAATGAGAAGTATTCCTAGAGAGCATACAATTGGATGTGTAGATAAATACTCCTGTATACTTGGAATCAAACTTTATACAAAGGACAAGATACACGTTGCTTTCTTTTTCAAAAGGTGCCCAAGCAATGTAACACTACAAAATCTAACAGTTGTCACAGAATTCCATCTCATGCCACTCTTACAGGATCAAGAACAACAGCCCACACTTTTTGGACTGTTCCTATCCATGTACCTGATAACAGTATTTGGGAACCTGCTCATCATCCTGGCTGTCAGTTTTGAGTCCCATCTCCACACTCCCATGTACTTCCTCCTTTTAAACCTGTCCTTGGATGATATCTGCTTCTTCTCCACCACGGTCCCAAAGATGATTGTGAATGTGCAGGCTCACAGCAGAGTCATCTCCTATGTGGGATGTTTGACACAAATGTCACTTTACATCATTGTTGGAAACATGGATGCTATGCTTCTGGCTGTGATGGTCTTTGACCATTTTGTGGCCATTTTTCCCCCTCTGCATTACTCAGTCATCATGAACCTTCCCCTCTGTGTCTTCTTAGTGTTCATATCTTTATTGTTTAGCCTTTTGGACTCCCAGGTGCACAATTTCATTGTTTTTCAATTTTCCCACTTCAAAGCTGTGGAAATTTCTAATTTCTTCTGTGACCCTTCCAAACTTCTTAATCTTGCCTGCTCTGACAATTCCAAAAATAATATAGTCAAGTATTTTGTTGTTGCCTGTCTCTGGGACCTTTTTCTCTTATTACAAAATAGTTTCCTCCATTCTTAAGGTCAAATCAATAGGAGGGAGGTATAAGGCCTTCTCCATGTGTGGGTCTCACTTGACAATAGTTTGTTTGTTTTATGGAACAGGGCTTGGAGTGTACCTTAGTTCAGCTATATTACATTCTCCCATAAATGGTGCCCTGGCATCAGTGATGTGCACAGTTGTCACCCCTATGCTGAATCCATTCATCTACAGCCTGAGGAACAGGGACATTAAGAGGACACTGAGGAAGATTCTCAAGAGTATATTCTGATCTAAGGAACTGTGACAGCTATTTGAAATGTAGATTACAAAAAAGGAGCAAAAGTAAAATTCTACACATGGAAATTGTTTCCTTGTTCACATAAGGGCAAGTTCTTATATATAATTTACCACAATAAGCAAGTTAAGTAAAATGAAGATGTATTTATTACTACTCTATAAACAAACAGAATGATATTCCAGAGTATCCTGCTGAAGGAGGAAATGAGACGATAGATTGTAGGGAATATTGTGTTTCTCTTCTTTATCTTTTTCTAATAATATTATGAAATTCTTAGAGCTTGGGATAACATGAACAAAGTTCACTAGTTATGAGCATTGGGCCTCAACAAAATATAATCAATAATCAACATGTACTGTAACTCTGCATTTTTCTTTTTCTCATTCAGTGGGCCTCATATGTGGGTTTGCTTGTCCAATGGCTGTCTGAATCAGGTCTGTCTGTTTTGACTCTGTTACTAATAACAGTTCTGAGGACCAAGACTGAGCAGTCATTTGTCAGTTAGTATGGGAGTTGCTTTGGATCTGAATCTTTTGTTATGGATTAATAAAAATGTAATTTAACTCAGTAAAATAAGAGCAAGACATTGTATGGATGACATATGTCCCTAAAATCTAACATTTCTATCAGAATTTCCTTTCCTAGAACTATCAGCATTTCCAAATATGCAATTCATACAGTTTGGGCTGATCTTCTCCTGGTCACAGTGCTTGGGATCCTGCTCATTATCCTGGCCATCAGCTCTGACTCCCACCTCTACACTCTCATATACTTGTTTCTCTCCAATCAGTTCTGGACTGACTTCTAATTCATCCTCACCATGCTCCCACAATTTATTATAAATATCTAAACTCATAGTAGGGTCATCTCTTATGTGGGTCACCTGACAGGGATATCTGTTTTTATCATTTTTGAACATATGGCTCATAAACATCTGTTACCTTCTGCATTACCCAGACAGTATGAACACTTGTGTATTCTTATTAATTCTGGTGGTTTTTCTGAAGAGGTCTTTTTTTTTTAATCCTTGATGCAAAATTGGATTGTCTTACATTTTCCTACTTTGAGAATTATTACTTTTTTCTGAAACTCTTAATAGCAGTTAGAATGTATAAATCTTTCTGTACTTGTTCTTTACATTTTTTGTGTGTATGGATAATGTGCTCTGACTGTGATTACCTATAACTAGTTTGTAGCTAATTCTTATCTCATGCATTAACTAGTCATCATGAATCTTACCATGTATCTTTTTCATCCTGGTGGATCCTTAATTTAACCTCTTGGACTCCTTCTTCAGAATTTCAATGCCCTCAAATTTGCTTTCTTTTAAGATGTGTAAACTGCTTATTTATTCACTGCTGTGCCTAAGTATAAGTATTGCATGCTCCAAATGTTACTAGGAAAACTGGATATCCACAAGTAGAAGACTGAAACTAGTCTGTGTCTCTCACCCCATACCAATATCAACTTAAAGTGGATCAAAGACTTTATTATGTGGACTGAAATTTGGAAACAACTACAGGAAGTAGTACACAATACATTGGACCATAAAGGCATAAGCAACACCTTCCTAAATAGAGTGCCAGTGTCTCAGTAACTAAGAGAAAAATTAACAAATGGGACATCATCAAACTAAAAGGTTTCTGCCCAGCAAAAGAAACAGTCAATAGATTTAAAAGACTGCCTAGATGTTGGGAAAACATCTTTACTAGCTCTTTATCTGGAAAGGGACTACTATCCAGAATCTATGGGAAACTCAAGAAACTCAAACTCCCAAAGAATCAACATCTCAATGAAGAAATGAGCACACGAATTGAATAGGAGATTTTCAAAGAGGTACAAATGGGCAATAAATGCATGACAAAATGTTCAACTTCCCTGCCTATAAAAGAAATGTAATCCAAAATTACACAAAGATTCCATTTCACCCCATTTGGAATGTTCATCTTCAAGGGCAAAAACAACAAATACTGGCAAGGTGCAATGAAACAGGAACCATTATGAACTGTTGGTGGATAAGCAAATCAGTAAAACCCTTATTGAAAGCAGTATGGGGATTCTTAAAAAGCTAAAACAGAACTACCATTTGGTCCAGTAATACTATTCTTGGGCACAAAACTGAAGGAATGTAAGTCAGGATACAATAGAGACACTTGTTTATCACTGGACTATTCATAATAGCCAAGATATGGAAACAACCCAGATGCCTACAACTGATAATGGATCAAGAGAATGTGGAGTATATACCTACATACATACATATATACACAATGAAGTTTTATTAAGCCATAAGGAAGAATGATACAATGTGATTTGAAGGTAAATGGATGCAATTTGAGTACTGTGTGTTAAGTGAAATAAGCCATATTCAGAAAGACATCTCCTATGTGGAAGATATATCCAAATAATACACATATACAAAAAATCTGACATGATAATATACAAACTTATATGTTCAACATGTTTGTAATAGTTGAACTAATCTATGGAACTCAGGGGATTAGGGATAGGAAAAAGAGAACAAAAGAGCAAAAACACATAACGTTTGTACAGATAAAGGATAAAATAATATGTCCCAAAAGCTATTGAATAATGGGGAGTCAGAGGGAGGAGATAACGGGGAGTAATGGAAAGAGTTGAACTGACAAAAATAAAGTATGCTAATGGTGGGGATACATGGAGAAACCCCTTTGAACAGTGAATTTGGAATTGACAACAAAAGATAGCACTATAAAATAGGTACAGTGTGTGGTCAGGTACTTGTGTCTGGGGTGAGGGTGAATAGAGTATATGATGGTGAGACAATATGGTTGATGGACTTCATGTACACATGAAATAGAACATGAAATGTCTTGAAATTGCTTTAAGTGGGATGGGGAAGGCACTGCATGGTGAGATAGTGGTGATGATCTAAGCAATATACAGTATAAGTCTAATTGGAATTGTCTCAATGAATCCCCCTTATACAATGAATAAAAAAATGAGAAAACACATTGCCTGTTCTCAAACATTCAATTTACTTGTTGCCATCTCTTAATGTTTTCCTGTGTCAAGAATCTCTTTTCAATATAAAATAGTTTCTTTCATTTTTATGAAGCTATCTGTGGTGGGTATCATTCAATGGAAAAAATTCCATCAAAAGCATTGTTTCCTCATCATCATATCTAATGCAACAGTTGGTAAAACCAAGTAAGTTGTTTTGCTTTCCTTACATAATTTTAAAGGAAAAACTCTGGTTCCTATATAGTATTTCCTAACCACTCCAGAAGTACTTTAAAAGGAATGATGAGGAGAAGGAGGAAGCTGACATCATTCCTCAAATCATGATTTGTATTTCAGTGTCAGAATCTGAATTATGTGTTCTTGTTTCACATGAATCATCTTTCAAAAGTCGTGTTGCCCATTTTATGTTATATAAAAAGCAGAAGAGAATTTTATGTAACTTCTATCACATTAGGTTAAAAAAAGAGAGAAGTGATGTCTCATTTGGTGTATCCATGCAGGTACACAGTGGGGCCCTACCAGAAGAATCCAGGCAATTTGTCTACTTAATTTAAAAAAAGGAGAAATAATATCTCTTGAGTCAGCCTAAGTGTCCATCAACTGATAAGTGGATAAGGACACAATGTAGTATTATTCAGACATAAAGAAGAATGAAATTATGTCATTTGCAGGAAAATGAATGGGACTGGATATCATCATGTCAAGCAAAATAAGCCAGACAGAGAAAGCAAATGTCACTTGTTCTTATATGTGGAATATAGATAAATGTAGCATGAGTATAAAACAATACACTTTGAGGAGGATAAGCACTAAACGGATAAAGGACAAAAGAAGAGTATGATGGGTTGTGATTGTCATAAAAGCATTTAGTATGCATATATGAAAAGTGGAATAATGAAGCACATCCAAATTATTTATATAGAGCAGAGGAGGAAAAGAAAGAGCACTAGAGAGGATGAATTCAATAAAGGGATTGAATGCATGGAAAGATCACAATACAGCTTTGTATAATTAACATATAATAATAAATAAACTTTGGTTCTCATTGTTCAGTTCTTCCCCTAAGTTTTGAAACTGTGAGTTCAGCAACACCACATTGTTAGAGAAAGGGACTATGGGCCCCAGTGATGTGCACTGTGGTAACCTTTATCCAGAATCCTTTCATGGACACCTGAGGACCTGAAACATTAAAAACACCATGTAGAATGTTTAAAACCAACATAGCAATCTCAGTATCGCTGAAATCTACTTGGAATGTAGTTATGCCTCCTTGTACACCTTATATTTGTAGATTGCTGCTTTTAACCTTCATGATTTTTCATAGGAGAATAGTCATCACCTGCATATTAGAAGGAGAAATGCAAAGGTTTTTAAATGAGACACCATTTATGTTAAGAATTTGAAATTTCTTGAAATGGAAGTTTATGATAATTGCACAACAGAATGAACGCAATTAGTATTTTTGAGTAGTATACATAAAATGAAGAAATTAATACATTTTAATGTATATTTTGCTGCAATTACCAATGGAAATAAAACACAGACAGATGTTTAAAACAAAAAACTAAAACAGATCTAGTGAATAGAATGAGAGCTTCATCTTGAATAGAGGAACAGCAACAAAACTTTGGTGGCCAATAATGTACTATTTTGACTTCACCATTAATTTCAGAAATTACTTAGAGATTGTGCTAACATGGACTGATTTTGCTAATTGTGAGCAGAGGGTACTGAGCCCTGAGGTCACATAATAGTCAATAATCAGCCAGTGACCCTAATTCATCAGTTTGCCTCATCCCAATGTGTCTCCATACCAGGGTCTCCTCTTATGGTTGTTGCATCATGAAGTTCATATCGGACACTCAGCTCCCATCAAGGCTGAGGAAAGATCCAGGATTCACCAGGCACAAGGCAAGGGAATTACACTGGATCTGCATTCCTTCCTCATGAATCAGCAGAGGACCAGCCTAAACCAGTAAGTTCTGGGG